GCCACAACGCCCGGCTATTTTTTGGTTGCAGCCGTCATTGTTGTTTGGCGGGTCCGGGCTGGGGATTAGAACCCGCCATATTAGGTGTACGTGGCTCCTTGAGCTATAGGCGCCGAGCCAGGTCACTCACTCTTAATCACTGCACTAATGCTATGTAAGTTTCTTCCTTTCACCCCTCTATTATCTGCTTCCAGATCACCTAAAGGAAGGTGGAAACTAGTATACCTAGGTAGTAACCCCCTCACCCCTACCATGGACCTTGGGAGTCAGAAACTTCCAATCAAATTCCAGTTGGTCATTGTAAGGAAGATTTTGTTAAACCCAAATCTTTTAGGTTTGGTTTCATCTATAAAATGGGCCAACCTTCATAATTCATGCAAATACCTCCTGGGCATCGTATTAAGTACCAGGTCCTGGGCATATTCCAAGAGGTAAAAGTCATGTCTGTGAGCCTCAGAGAAGTTCATGAGCTATTTATTTAGCCTAGTGAATTGGATCCATTTAGCTGTGCCTCTGTTTCTCCATCTTTAAAACCTCTGGCAAGCCTAGGTTATGGCGTTTCTGAAGTTCCAACTCTGAGATTAAGAGCTCAGGTTGCTTAATATTTACCTTACCTGCTTCAAGGGAATGTTAGGAGGATAAAGCAAGCTCAGAGTTGTAGAAGGGCTTTGAAGAGGAAGACACACATGCAAACAAGGTATTAATTATATCAGATAATTTCTTTGAGCTTGACTTCATAGGCACCCCTGATATTCATAACCCAAGGGCAGACAACAGGGCAAATTGTTTCTTAGCAATGTGAAAACTGTTGTCTGCTTGGCCAGACTTGAGAGTTTGTACCTGCAGGACAATCAGTTTGACATGGTTGGATCCAGGCTGGGGCACCTGTGTTTTGAAGATGGGGAACTAAGCTAGGGGTAGGGAAGTAGAAAAGTGTCGGGAGCTGAAGACAAAGGGGAGAAATGCCAGTGTTTTTTGTTGAGGAGAGTCCCAACTTGAGACAAATTGAGCCCAGAAATGTAAAAAAGAAAGCTGCAGCTCATCATGGGAAGCCTACTTTAAGAACCCGTTAGGCTGCAGAGAGACTCAAGGTGAGTGAAGCACATTAACCCAGTCTTTGTTTTAGAACCCCTTTTCACAACCATAAAGCCGACATCCGAGAAAGCTGAATTTCCTCAAAAGGTTTAAATGCCTGACGTCATTGGGAAGTACTCGCCAACCCAGCCAACCCAACCATGAAATCGAAAACCTGATCACTGCTTCCCTCCAACAACCTCAAGCCTCGTGAAGTGACAGCTAATCTGATATTTCTTGCTTGGGTAAGAAAGATAAGGCACAGACAACACTCAAAGAAAGCATAGCCAGCTTCCCCAGCCTGTAGTCAGAGAACTTGACAATGGGGGGGAGGGGTGTAGATTTGGCAGAGATCTGGTTAGCAATAAAGCTTCCACAGGGAGCCGGAATTGGATTTGGGGCCCTGCCTGAGTTAACATTTTTACAGGTTGGCTGAGTTGCAGTTTGTTAGCCAGCCAGTAATAAACCCATATGCAAGAATTTAAAGTTTATGAGGCATGGCCTCTTAATGCCTTCTCCTCAGCTCCCTACAGCCAAGGGTTTAAGGATCCTGGCCGAGCCTGCAAGCCTGGGTGTTAATTGTTTCGTCAATCTGCAGAGCTATTTGGGAAAATAATTTTATTTTTTTTTTAAAGAAAAGGTTTCTAGAGACTCAGGCCTCCAAGTCCCTTCTTGAGAAACAAAGGGCAGCCATTTCCTCCCCCAAGGAATTGATACCCCCACATTTCAAGCTGTAGGAATTTGCACCTGGGGTGAGGGGTATGCTGATGGAGGCACCAAAGAAATGCTAGATGGCAAGGATTCTAGATAAACTATACATACTACCTACCAGCCCTCAGAAAAACGCATACACAAGTTCTCAAACAATTTCAGTTTCAGGGTCCCTTGGAGCTCCAACCAAGAATCCAGGGTCAAACTCCTGTTTAAGAACATAAGCTTGATCTCGCAGAGGAACCCCCATTGTCCACTCCACCTGAAAGGAAGGAGCTCTCCCTCCACCAGCCAGCAGTTGCCTGGGTCTCATAACACACTGGTTCTCCTCACCAAAGTGACCTCCACTCTCAAGTTTTTGCACTTGAGGAGTGGGGGGAAAGAGTGGGAGATCAAAAATGTGCTTTGATCTCGCATCCACGGCCCCCACCGCTCAAGGCCTGCCGGCTAGGGACACTCCCCTCTGCCCCCCCAACCCTCCGACCTAGCTAGCATCCCAGTTCTCAAGACGCTGTGGGGGAGGGCAGGGGTGTCCCCCGTACGAGATAGCCCTAGGCCAGGTGTGCCAGGGCACAGTTTCCAGGCGGACTGCAGGGGCGCAGCCCCTCCGGGAACGGCAGGGTTAAGAGTGCATTCCAGCTGCCGGGGAAGAAGGGGGGCGGGGGAGGGGAGCGCGGAGAAGAGAAACAGACCCGGTCTGTCTGTCGGAGACACAAAGCACGGTTCACAAAGGGGGCCCGAGAAGGGCGAAGGGGGCTGCCCGGGGCACGGCTCATCCCCACACCTGCGCGGGGGTTGAGGGAAGAATGTGAACGGCGCATTCCTCCGCTGGGGCCAGCCGGGGAGAGCTGCCCACATCGGGGCTGGGTGAGGGGCTCAGCTGCCCAGCGTCCCGAAGGAGGGGGTCAAGGTAAACCGCGGCTGTGGGGCAAGGAAGGGCTGGACATCAAAGGGCGCCTTCTCAGTCAACCACCCACCCCCAATCCCAGCCCCCCAGACACTTTGCGCCTCTCGGGGGCGTGAGGTGGCGCCAGAAGTCCCCTGCCCGGGTCTGAGCACTACCGCGCGCACCACAGCGGAGAGAACCACGTGCGCCCCGGCTCAGTGGTTTCACCCGGGCCGGCTCCTGGAGGGTCTTACCTTTCCCCAGAGCCTGGCCGCGCTCCTGCTCCGCGCCTCCCGCTTCCAAGGTCACTTCAGCCTCCCCGAAGCTCGCCCGGCATGGCTCGGAGGCCGCGCACTGCAGCCAACAAACCTGAGCCTGGAGGCAGAGGGGGTAAGAGGAAGGCTGGGTCACAGGGGTGCCCGCCCCTGCACACCCCATCCTGGGAGTCCGTACCGGGCCTCCCGGACTAAAGAGGCCGGGAGAAGCCCAGCCCCGCTCTCCCCCAGATGCCACGCCGTGTGTGCGGACACCGCCCGCTCTCCAGGGAGTAGTCCCGACCCGGCAAGGGCAGGACAGTGGAATACCTGGAGGATGAGGAGGAAGAGGGACGCGAATGGCCCACTGGGGAGCCCCATGGCTAGAGAAGAGGGGCGAAGAAGCTGGCGCGAAGGCTGGCTAGTGCTCGGCTAGGATCTCCGCGCCCCTTTGAGCACCACGGTTTGCCAGCACTCGCCGGAGGAGGCCAGGTGAGCGCAGGTAGGTGCTGATTGGTCCAGCGCCACGAGGGCCCGCCCCCTCGCAGGTGGGGCCGGGGCTGGAGAGAAGAAGGCACCGGATAAGCCCCTGGCCTCTGCCCTCCCGCGTTCTGTGGGCTTTTCTCCTCGCAGGGACTCAGCTCCTGTCTCGAAGGTTCTAGGTTCGAGGGGGAAAAAGCCCCAGCCCACTCCTCAGCCCTGCAGCACAAGAAGAGAAATGTGTCTGCCTTGCACTTGTAGCAGGAAGGACGCATCTGGACCCGACCGATACAGAGGCTCCCTATTCATGCTTCCCGGAGGTCTTCTCACGCCCCAAAGCTTTGATGGAGGCCGATGTGCCCTTCCACACCCGGCTACTGCCGGGGCGGCCCTTTTTCTCCACCTCCGGTGCCTGCCGGCTGGAAGGATCCGGAGTTGAAAACTGGCAGCGAGGGCCCGAGGGCCCGCCTTACAGAATCTGAAACAACTCGCCTGAGAATCATGACTTTCCTTTCACAGGTTAGAAGTTCCCAGAGTTTGGAAGCTGTAGTGGCCCCGGAGGGTGCGAGGTAGGCGGTGGTTATTGGCCCCATAATCTCCAACACCCCTGCCCCCATAAATAAATAACGCTCTCTCAACTATGTGAAATGAAAATAATAAAGGCAATTTTTTACACGCAGTTGTCTTCATTGGTCTGATATACTGCATATAATCTAGTAAAAATTGCTTGCTGTGCGGAGCAGCCTTCCGGTGATTCTCCCTTGGAAAACAGCTCTCTCTCCCGCACCCTTCCTGGGAGCTACGCGACAGAGCCAGGATTCATTCCTCCTCTGTACCCTCATCCCACTACCCTTAGACAAGAAGCGCTGTCCTCTTCGCCGCACGCGACTTATTCCAAAGCACAGAAACGGTCCCGAGACTCAATCGCTCCGCCCCGCATGCCCTTTCCCCATGGAGCCGAACTTCCCAGGCCAATCCCACTCTCTTGTCCCCGAGTCCTCCTTCATCTTCTCCTGCTGCCTGGGGAACCCCAGGATGACGCCCCTTGGCCCTCGCCCTATCCCCTCCCCAGCTCAGATTTAAGGGGTTGAGGGAGGGACTCGAGTTTTAAATTATAGAATCTTTGGCTTTCAAGGCTAATGGTAACTCTCCCCGTCTTTCTCACTGCCGGGCCTGTGGTCAGCGGCGGGCTGCGTGCGCTGCGACCGCGGGAAAGACGTCTTTCTCTCTGGTACCCAGCATTGGTTCTGGGTTCAAACATAAGTCGCCCCACTTGCTAGCGCTGAAGTCTCAGGCAAATGAAATAGCCCCTCTGGGCCTCCGTTCTGTGTGTGTCCCCTGGGGTTATTAAGACACCTACCCTCTAAAGTACTAGGATTAAATGAACTAGTACATGTAGGCGAGGATGCAAGAAATTCACACTTTTAAAACCGCTAAACTCAGTACCTGGCGCAGAGTAAAAGTGCCCAAATGTTGCCTGGTGTTATTGCTCTGGGACCGGCTCATTTGGCCGCCTCTGCCTAGAGAGCCGTTTCTCTACTCCCTAGCGCCCCACGTTCCCCAACTAAGAGGGTGAGAAGCTTTGTAATCCTTCAATTTCACGGCTGAGGGTAAAGCAGTCGGCGTCAGGCGTCGCGGGAGCGCTCGGTTTGGGGCAGGCAGCTGCTGGGTCGGGGAGATGCAGGACGCGACGCAGCAAGAGCCCGCGGCCGGCGCCTCTCCTTCACGTAGGGGGCACCTCCCGTGCCAAAGGGAAGTTAGATGCCCGCGCTCCGATGGGACAGAGGGGCCAAGCCTCTGCAAGGGTCTCCCGCCCGCCCGATGCCAGACGAAGCCATTAGGCGGAAGGCTGAACACTAACGAGCCTCGGGATAGAGGCCCTAATTAAGTAAACACTCGGCTGGGGGGCTGTTGAACTCGCTCATTTCCGCCTCCTTCCCGGGCACTCAGCGCTCTGGCCGGGGGCGGAGACACCAACGGAGAACGTTAAGAGTCAGCTCTTCTGCCTGCAACTTGGACCACGCTGCCTTCTCCTTAACCCTTCTTGTCGGTCGTTCACTCACTCATTCATTTAAAAATATTTGCCGACAAATATTTGCTCTGTGCCAAGGATGGAGGATACAAGAGCGAACGAAACAGACAAGCATCCCTGCGCCCTCAGGCTTGCCCTCTCAGAGCGTGGAGGATAGAGGAAAGGAAAGAAAAATAAGTAAATACTTAATGTGTTAGATGGTAGAACAAGGACAGAACAAGAAATGCAAATCACTGGACAGGAGCTGGGGTTGGGAATTGTCAATAAAGTGATTCAGAAGGTGTTACAGTGAGGGTCTAGCGGGAAACAGAATCCAGCGCGGGTGGTTCAGGAGTCTTAAGGAAGGCACTAGGTGGGCGGCGCCTGTGGCTCAGTGAGTAGGGCCCTATATACCGAGGGTGGCGGGTTTTAACCTGGCCCTGGCGGAAATGCAACAAAAAAATAGCCAGAGGTAGTGGTGGGCGCCTGTAGTCCCAGTTACTCAGGAGGCTGAGGCAGGAGAATCTCCTAAATCCAGGAGCTGGAGGTTGCTGTGATCTGTGACACCACAGGACTCTACCTAGAGGGACAAAGTAAGACTCTTGT